TGTTTCTGTTTGTCGATGTTTCTGTAATCGTAGCATATCCACTTGGCAGGTGATTGGCCTACCAAGCTTCACCAGAGCCCTGTTAGCCGGCATTACCTGTTTCCACCTCCCACGACGAGGACGTAGGGTTGGACTTGTAGGAGGTTGATTATGGTATATTGGCTCATATATCATAATGGCAAAGCCAATAAAAAGTCTTGAATTGCATTATTCAATGATCCAGTTTTAATAATTCGTGATATACGCGATACAATTTACCTGATAATATTGTAATATTCTTATGAACTCATCTCGTTGGCCGTTAATTGACAGTCAATCTTTTATAGTCCTCCCTTTATACCCTGTTGGCATCGACTGATCCTCCTTTCGTTCTCCCAGAAAACCATGCGCCCCTCTCCAGATCCTTTGACCCTCCCCTCCCCCCTTGAGCGATACATAATGACTGGTTCATGAAAAGAGGTTTGCCTCACGGTGGTGATTGTTTTGTATGTCTGTCTATTGGTCTGTCCATTTTTATTTAGCTCTTATTAACCGAACTAGGTCGGTCTGTATGGGGGAATCTTGACCGAGGTCAAGATTCTCCCATACAGACCGATCCAGCTCGGGTAATAAGATGTTTATTATATGGCTGTGTCTTATTTTTATATTCTTTGTACCTTCTTTTTCTAGACTGGTCTATATGCCGGTCTAGATGGGAAAATCTAGACCGCTTTCTTTCAATATTGATTCAGCCAATCAAATTCGGGAATTCGGTAGTTCCCAGTCCTTGTGAGACACATCCATATAATAATTTTACTTATTAACCTCTCCCGATTACAGATTCTCTAGTGTTCCTCAAGCCATGATAGACACAGAGGTCTGGGTACCATTTGACCGTGAATATCATGTAGGGAATGAAGTATTGATGGATGCCGGATCAATAGGATTCACGGGAAGGTTAGTCAAAGAGAAACATCGGGACATCTTGGAGTCTTACTTTGATCTACTCATTTTGTAGATGGTTGCGTAACGTCATGAGTATCAGATCGCAGCCATAATTTGCTTCGTGTGAAATTCATTTTTGAAGGTAGAGAATTTTGGGTCCCCCAAATAGCTGCATAATTCCAAACTGGTGTGATTTGTGTGATGTTCACGCTCCGAAAATAAGTCTCAACGACTAGCTTTGGAATCAGTATTCAAGGAGCGTTTAATTACAGCAAGTTGTCGCCTTAAAATGTCCCGGCCCTTCCTTACCATGATCGTCCAAATGACCCAAGGTGAAAAGGAAAGGAAATAGAAAAGACGTCGATTTTCACAGATTTTGAGAGGGTCTTTGTTTCAGGTGGGTATGTCTGTCTTACTCTTCACGTTATTAAAAAGGAGTCTCTCTTCCAGACTAGGCTGGTTTACAAACTCCTTCTTTGTTGGTCGAATGTGGAGTGAACATCACCAACCCGCTGACCATTGGAGAGCTCTACAGCTTCGCGTTATACTACAGGAACTTTCCCTCGCCTCGGAACTGATCACGTGTCAGGCCTGCATAGAACACGAGTTCCATCCTCTACAGTGTGTCCAACTAAATCAAAGTGGCAAGAACTGTGTTACCCTGCTGGCTGCACAAAAAGGTAAACTAAATAAAATAGTTTTCTTTTTTTATTGCGTGACGCGGTAGCTAGCCGGTCACCGAAGCATAGTGCTTTTAACCAAGAGTTTGATTTTACGGCGATTTTATTACCACAGGCAATCTCAGTTCTTTCATGATCGAGGATCAGATTAAAAGTCTACAGTTGAATGTATCAGTGCTATGGCTTGGAAATAACCTTACGTCCACAGTTTTGCTGAACGAAGCAAAGGGAAAGCCTTTGCTATTTTGTGCCTGGGATCCAAGCCCTTTAACCACAGCTAGCAAATTTAGGAGGATTATCTTCCCTGAATGCAGGTAATCATGATCTCTCTGTCCAGTATCTCTATTCCTGGACTAGCGGGTATTTCAAATTCAAATTCTTTGCTTTGGTTTCCTTTTAAGCTTTCCTTCGAACTACATCGCCTTAAACCTCACAAATAAATCTCATGGAGGATGCGATTTTCCCTTGTACGACCTGCGAAAATTTGTTTGGAAAGAAATACAGATGCGTTATAAGGACATTTACGGCCTTTTGAAAGCCATCAGTCTTACACGAGAGCAAATCACTGATATACTTCAACAGGTCGGCACAACTCAAAACAGCACGTCAATTAATGACTCCGTGTGTCATTGGATGAATAAATCACGTGATATTTGGTTGCCATGGATACAAGCTGAAACTACCGCTAAAAGAATTGTGTATATTGGGGGGATGTTTCCGAGTCTTGTAGAAGCAAAGGCTGTATGGTCAAGCCCGGGTGATGAAGTTGGAGCCCAGCTAGCTATCAAAGAGATCAACAGAGAAATAAGAGTTTTGGAGCGTTGTAAGCTTGAACTACTCGTAGCCCCAACTCAGTGTAGACGTGAACTGGTAATTTCGGCATATATACGATACCTGAATCTGGATCATGCGCAAAAGGTAATTGGCATCGTTGGACCAGCATGTAGCAAGGCCACACTTCCAATTGCCGAAGTGGCCCGATTTCACAACACAATTCTAATGGGCTACGGCGCTGATGACGTGTCATTATCCGATAGAACGAGATTTCCGATGTTTTTCCGAACAAATCCGAGTGTTGACGAATTCAAGTTAGCGTTCTTATCGATTTTTCGAGCGTTTAGTTGGAAGAAATGTGCCATCTTGCGTGAGGCTAAGTATCCAGTAAACACGGTACAGTCTCGCACAGAATTCCTGACCAAAAACGGAGTGCAAGTACTGTCACGTGAGTTGCCGTCCGATGAAGACCTAGATGCCCAGAGTTATGTCAAGAACGTCGCGGAGAGTAAACTGACAGTGATAATGTTGGACGCCTACCCAGCAGTCACCAGGGCAGTGACATGCCAAGCTTATAAGGAGGTATAAAAGTTTCCAAGTATATCTCTAGATTTGAGGCACCCATTACTCGTACTGTATTAAAAGGTCCCTTGTAAAGGTAGTTAACATTAGATACCAGCAATTAATGAATAATCTCCCAAGGTGGCTAACATTCTGTGCATTGCTAAAAAACAAGCAGATTTTATTCTCTCTTTTTCTTTTTGGAATCATTCGCATAGCAAAACCCACCTAGGTTCACTATAAGCGCGAAACTGCACTCATATATTATCAATAAAACCTCTTTGGATACACCTCTAATACACAAACACCCTCGAAAAGCCCCAAAACATTACCTGTTTAGTTAACTGAAAGTGGCTATCCTCTAGGCTACCAATTTCCAAAGGAACGTGAGTCGTTATTTAAGGAACTTTGCATTACTTACTACACCAAGTACAGCATTGAAAACTTATTTTTCTCATAAATCATTCGCATTTCCTTAAATTTGATCAGGGTCTAACTCCAGAAAAAGGCTACGTGTGGTTCTTACTTGATTGGTTGGAATCTGATTGGTGGGACGTGGACTTTTTTAACAGCAAAAAACACGCCGCACCAGAAAGCGTGCCGTGCTCCACTGATGACTTGAAGACTTTTGTCGATCAAGGCTACTTCACTTTATCTTCTCCCTTTTTTGGAGATGACGAACAACCCGTTGTGGGAGGAGGAACTGTCAAACAATGGAAGGAACGATATCGATCCACCGTGGCAAAGCAGGTAAAAGCACAGAAATGCAACTGCTTCCGTCGTTCATCAAAATTTTCTCATGACTTAGTGAAAGTGCAAGCCTGGTCGAGGCAATGCCAAGTTATAAACTGCCTTCCTCGTTCTGTAATAGGAACTTTAAGCAAACCACGAAGGCTACGGCAATGAGAACGTGGAAAAACAATAGATCTAATTGGCAGAACAATAGCCCAGCACGTGCGTTTTCAAACTTTGTACATTTCTTAGCCGTCCTTTGCAAAACAACAACGTTAAATCACCAAAATTTGCGTCGTCTGCGAAGCGAAACCGCGGCGGCAAATTATTTTAATTTACATTTGGAACTCAACGCTACTTTTATGCGTTATGTTGAGTTTGAGGTCTGGCGCTCTATGAGACGGTAAACACATGCAGCCATTTTCGAAATTCTAACTAAAAGTAGAAACTCATTCTTTAATCGACGTCTTCCGTGGCGTTGCCGTCCTGACTGCTTAAAGTCCCTATTACCTAAACAATGTTTTTGCTTTCACAGAAAAAGGAATGGTCGGGTTACGCATCCTTTGCGCATGACGCAGTTTGGACATACGCTTTAGCACTGGACCAACTGCTTAAGAATGACTCATTAGCTTTGGATAAAATTGACACCAATTCTACCTCAGTGTAAGTATATGCTAATGTTATATTTGGTATTACAAAACGTTTCTAGAGGTTTAAAGCTGGAACGCTGGTTTCCTAAAGACGAATGTAAACGTCGCCAATTTTTATGTCAACCGATCGATCATATTTTGAAACAAAACAACGAGATCTGTACTATGGAGGGAAACAAGTAACCCGATTAAGCACTTGACTGGTTAATTGCGCTGTGTAACAGAATTTATTCGTCTGAAACAGGCCACCGAATTATGAGAAACACCAAAACCAAAGCTCAAAGCAGTGATGCAACATTTCTTAGTACTGACACGAAGTGAGGCAAAGATGGAAAAAGCTGGAGAAGGATAAAAAGCCTTGCAATTAAGATTTTTAGATTCACTCTCTTGTTTGAAAATTTTAAAGAAAACGAATGGTAATTTGTCATTCAAACGTCAGTTTTATTTTAAATCCGCTTAGTTCGCGCGCTTGCCTATTAGAGAGTACCTACCCCATCTAGATTTGAATAAAAAGGCTTAAAGACCGTCACCAATCCTCATAAAAACAAGCCAGATTTAAGCAGTCATTCTCAAATATTATCAAGGGTTGATATTTTGTGGCTGAGTGTTTTACTTTGAATTTACTGCCAATCTTTTGGGTTCTCCTTTCAAAAAATCCTCATCTTGATCATATCTCGCTTCCAATTAATCAGAAAGTTCCGTCGCTATATACAGCAAGTGGACTTCTTGGGTGTGTCTGGACGGGTGCACTTCAACAAAGGAGATCGTCTCTCCGACATTATCATCAAACAGAAATTCACCTCGCACTCCGCGATCATTGGACACTTCATCCATTCCCACAAACCGAATGCAACGTATTCAGGAGGCTTGCAGTGGAACCCTAACAAAATTACATGGGCCTCGGGAACAATACCAAGTGATGTTTTACCAGGTGAGCTTCTTAATTTCAATTCTTTTCTGTTTCAAAGTTACAGAAGTAAACTCTCACCTTGTAAATCAATCGTGATGTTGATATATCCGCCAAGAATTTGTTACCTTTTAGCAGGGGCTGTTTTGATTTGATTACGATCCACCGAAATAATAGCATTCAGCACCGAAATAATAGCAACTCACAGCAGCCGTGTCATGGTTTGTGCATCTTTAGTAATTTTTTCCTGGCCTTGTCCAGACTTTTGTTTAGTGGATCGGCAAAGCGGGCAAACACGGCTTGATGGTTATCAAGAACACTCTCGGCATTTTTTACCACCTTCTTTATCGCTTTTCTCCACCGGCCGCGTCCCTTGAGCGGGGTAAAATTTTTTCGCGTGAGTAGTTTTCCTGGTCGCAAGGAAACGACTTTAAAAAACTAAGCTTAGCCCCCTTAATTCATTTTATTGACAGAGATGATATATTCTACAGTCAATTTGGTTTTATCAACTGAGCTGGTAGTATAAATTGGCCACTGTAAAGGGTCTCAAGGCTGACGTTTCGAACCTTAGCCATTTTCCCTTCCCCCTAACGAAGGGGCTCGAAACGTTAGCTTTGAAACCCTTCACGGTGGCCAATTTACACTACCAGCTCAGTTGATAAGACCAAATTACCTTGTTATACTTCCCCGCAGACGCAACACCACACTTTCTTTAGAAACCTACCCCTTTTATTCTACAGACAGCTTGCTTATAGAATACTCTATAAGTTTGAGCTGTCTTTTCAAGAAGAAAAATACTTTTTATTATCCTTTTCCTTTCTGGCCAGTCTATAACTATTATTATTATATAACCCCGAGTTCGGGTCCAAGAAAACGGATCCTAATGCTTTTTCTGACATTTCTATAAAGAACCTGAACCAAAAGCACTATGCGGAGTAGAGAATTTAAGCAAAGCTTTGGGTGTGTCCTGTCGAGCGGCCATTGGTATTACCGTACTCATTGGTAAGTCAAATTTAGACACGTAACGATCGTTCTCTTAAAGTGAGGAGCGATAGTATGTCTATACCAAAATCACCCTTCAGCAGTCGATCGGTCTAGCCCTGTTTTGATCCTTTTCTTCTACTTCCATTTAATCGCTTTCCCCTACATCGCTCATGTTGTTCGATTCAGCTTCAGTTTGCGCAGTCTTGCAAGCAACTCAGTTGTGAGTTGAGAGCGAAGAACCTGCCACCATTCAGTCAAACCATTTCTAACTTTGGTTGGCGTCGTTTTCTTGCAATGTTCCCATGTTCCCATCGTTAGAGAAAACTTGTATAGACTTTTTCGAGAGCGTGACAGACACCTTTTTATTTTTTTCTTAAGTTCTTTTACTTTCGCAATGTTTGTATGGGAGATTCGGTCACATTTTCCGTGATTAGCGTTGGGAAAAAAATTCTGCTTTAGTTGAAAGTCGTGAAAGTTTTAGG